GCTATTTTTCCGGCCGCATACGGATTATGAAGAAAGTATACTAGCTATCTTTCCGGTCGCATACAGTCATGCTCTGTGTCAGAGGGAAGACGATAGGGATGAATGGAAGGGCTACCTGTAGTCAGGAGCAACGACCTTTCTCAGGCAGTGATTGATGAACCTCACCTCCCTCCTTAGGTTAGTATTGCTACGGCGACTTAAGGCATATTCACATGACCTTTTTCGATCGAGTAGACTACCATCGTCACCAGAATAAAATGGGCAGTCATTGTATCTGTAGTTTGGGCAATTTCAGTCTAGTTACAGAGATAATGGGCTACCATGCGTTCTATCCGGGAAAGGATTGTAATGAGGAGAATGAGGAGAATGTGAATGGAGAAAATAAATTCCGTCCATGTTTTTTGAGCGTGGGAAGTGAGTGCATCATCATCATCAGTCACTTGTTTTGAGGGTATACGTGTAAATAGGCCGATTGAGAGAAAGGGCAACAGAGGAATTTGTTGAACGAGAGGAGCTCTGCAGCACTCATGGCGGGGAGAAGGCAGGGTGATTGGCAGAGGAGGATGGGAGTCGGCGAAAAGATGAGAGCGGACGCAGGAAGATTTGGGAAGCGACACCTGTTTTCAGTGACGCTGTTTATTTTGTTTATGCTATATTAGGCTACGTGGTTGAAAATTGAAGGCTATTTTTAGTTATGGGGGACCACTGGGAACTCAGTTAGACTCTGCGTGTTCTTGAACTTTGTTGTTTGCCGTATGCGTGGTTTCGCATGTGCGTGCATTTTACTTCTAGGGTGGTGATCTTTGGCATCGTTTCTTTTGTGTTTCGTTGGATGGAGAGTTGAGAGCAAATGCTTGGGAGAGAGAGGAGAAAAGCCCAATGCTTGGTGTCTGGGTTGCCGTCTCAGGCATGAACAGTTGATGGGTGTTGGGGAATGGAAAAGGGGCGAGGACTTTTCACGATGTTGTTAAGCCACCCCATCGGTCCTCGTGGCCAAACTATGTCGATCCAAAGAACTGGTTGACACAGTGTGAAAACCGGTTCGAGCGTACCGGACGAAAAAAAGCCTTACCGGACGAAAAAAAGCCCAGACAAGTGCATGGTATGAACAGTTGCTGGGTGTTGGGGAATGGAAAAGGGGAGGACAACTTTCCACTTGACGCTTTTAAGCCAGCAGTCTTCATGGCCCCGCTATGTTGTTCCACATGCTGGTTGACATGGTGTGGAAACTGGTTCGAGCCTGCTGGAGGGAAGAAAAACTGGCAGTGCCAGACAAGATCGGCCCCCTGATTGTTCGTTGTTTTTAAGGCCCTGACAAATTCCCACATTGGGAAAAGAGGCTTGGACTGACTGGTGGCCTATAATAAGGTGCGTAGCATTGTGTAGCGTTTGGCTAACAGCCAGCTGCTTTGTGAAGACCCATTTGAGTCCTGTTTTCTGTTTTCTCTGTTGTGCTTTTTGGAAGATTCAAGAACGGTGTGATTATTTCTCTTGGATTTCTGGAGTTTGACTGCTGTGTTGACTTCCTCCCGTGATGATTTTACTGTGCACACCATCTGGTGTAAACTGTACTCTGCATGGCGGTTTTACTTACTGTGCGTTCTGATTTTGGTGGGTCTATGGTTTTACTCTGCGTCCAGGAGGAGCGCCAGCCATGGCGGGGACCATTGCTCACGCAGCGGTGCTGACCAAAATCAATGCAGCTGCTGTTGTGATCTCGTCTTCAGCCCAAGATGGGGATTCAGCACGCCGATCTAGTCGAAAGGGACGGCCGTCAATTGTTCCTAGGGGCTCCCTTCCGCAATGCAGAGACAGTCATGCCAGTGCGAAGGCGTCGAAGGCGCTGGCGACAAAGACGTTGACGTCTTTCATGGGTTTGAGAAGAGCGGGGACCGTGGATTTCCTCAGTGCCTCGGGACGGCGGTGCTGCTCTCATGACCTAGCCAGTCTTGTCCGGAAGAGCTCTTCGAAGGGTGGTGGGAGAGGGAGAAGGGGGGTTGCAGTTGCGATGTTTGAGAGGTTCACAGAGAAGGCAATTAAGGTTATAATGCTTGCGCAGGAGGAGGCCCGACGACTGGGGCACAATTTTGTTGGGACAGAGCAGATCCTGCTGGGGTTGATTGGAGAAGGGACTGGCATTGCAGCCAAGGTTCTGAAGTCGATGGGCGTAAACCTCAAGGAGGCTCGTGTGGAGGTGGAGAAGATTATCGGCCGCGGCAGTGGTTTCGTTGCGGTTGAAATCCCATTTACCCCTCGTGCGAAGAGGGTGCTAGAACTTTCCCTGGAGGAGGCACGTCAGCTAGGTGATTTCGGCATTTCATGCTTGCATGACACCACCTTAAGGCACCCTTGTTTTCTCTTGTTGCTTCAGTATCCCTACTTTCTTCCCCTGAAAAGAAGGGACGGTCATTACGGCCATATCTAGTCTGAAAGTTGCCCCAAATGCAGCAGCAGCTATAATGACTGTGTGTTCTTTTCGGGGAAAGAGGGTAGGCTAGACTCACTGGACTACGTCTAGGTTGTCATAGAGAAATTGTCATAGAGAAATCCGACCACCCGTTATCGAGAAATCAAATGGTAAGCCTTTAAGTCAAGATGGCAGGAGTCAGATGTTGAAGCATAGACACCTGTTTGAAACCTGGATTCGAATTCTGGGTAAGCTAGCTTGCACAGCGTCTGCATGCAGCTCTCATCGGTGCATGATGGCCTGAACCCCGCTCGCTAGGTGTTTTTTTTTCCCCTCTCAGATCAAAGCAACTTCTGAAGATGTCTTTCTCAAGGGTACTCAGACTAAAAGTTGATGTCAACCATTTTATCACCCCTTACGAGTGATTCGAGGATCATCGGTTTTCCCTTTTCGCCTTGTTTGCTTCAGTCATTTGGCAGTTGGCTTCTTCTTTCTCTTTGAATGTTGCTGCTTCCTGTGACTTGACAGCTATCCGGTAATCGTACAGCAGAGTGGCATGCCTTTTGTTGCACGGATTGTGCTGACTTGCACCACTTATTTTGTCTCCTAATATGTGTGACAATGGGTTTTTGGTGTGAAGGACACAACTACATTGGAACTGAGCACTTGCTGCTGGGTCTTCTGAGAGAGGGTGAAGGCGTCGCCGCCCGTGTTCTCGAAAATCTTGGAGCTGATTCCAGCAACATCAGAACCCAGGTGAGTGGCGTGCCTCTGAGGCTGATCAATGAGTCATGGTTGCAGTGACCATAGGTATCTCTTTACCCAGGCACACGATTGTCCTCTCGTGTAGAGGCAGAATAAGCTCTACAGAAGTCAAGGTTTCAAAGCGATTAGGGTCTCTGTCCCAGATACACGATTGCTGTATTGTGAAGAGGCAGAAGAAACTCCACAGAGCGTGTTGCTCCGTTTCTTTGCTCCATCCCTCTTTGCTCCATTCCTCGCACTCGAGACTTCCCTCTCTCCTTTGCCATTCTCTCTCAGGGCTTAGATCATAATACAGTTCCCTCCCACTTGTACTTTCTACTTCCCTTATCTCCTTCCCTGCTGCTTGTCATTCCTCCTCATCCTTGTAGTCATAAACACAGAATAGTGGATTTCTCTACTACTTGGGCACTCCACCCGTGTTACTTATTGCGTGATGCATACATGGTGTCCAGTTTTTCTTACCTGTGCACTCTGCTTGCTCCAGTTCTGATACAAGAATAACAATTGAACCATTGCACAGCTGACGATTGCCAACCCAAGTAGAGAGTAGAATTAACACCATAGGTTCAAAAGCATTCAAAGTTTCTTGTTTGACATAATTGAAACAAATCAAAATGGTATTGGCAGTACCAAACAATAGAAATATTTTACGAAAATAGGTAAAAAAACCGTCAAATTAATAGGTCAAATTATCTATGATTAGATTATTATAAAACAGATTAGCAGTGGTCAGCCTGTTGCTGTGCCCACCTTTTTTTTTTTTTTTTTTTTTTGCTAGTCTGTTTCAGCGGTGAATATTGAGAATTCTGCGAAGCTCGTCATACACCTCTCCCATGCTCTTTGCATGTCATACTCTATCCTGCCCTCCAGATATTTCATTCCTTCCCGTTGCCCCTACCTTCGCTGCCCCATACTCTATAGAACTCCGCTTTCTATCCCTTACCCTCCACTCCCTTTGTGCTACTAACAAATACATACGAATGAACGGAAGTATGAAGATGAAGGGCGGACACAAAGACTGTATAAGCTGAAGATCTGAAGTGAAATGAACAGGAATATGAAGCTCTGAAGAGAAGTGCACAGGAGCATACCTTCCCTTTTACTCTGCCTCCTGAAAATAACGTGCAAGTGGGCCGTGAAGGCACACGGGGATGTGGGCAGCTGCCGCTCAACCACAATCAACATGGGCAGCCTTGTGTGTAAGAGGCACAGTAAAAGGGGAACTGCAAGCACAATGAAAGGGGTACCCCAAGGACAACCAAAAAACTGTTTAATTACAAAATTGCTTTAATATGTTGGAGATCTCAAATGCTCTCGTTGTCTGCAATAGAACAAAGACTGCTTTGATTCTGAATCTATTCATCTGGGTGGAATTGGGGCTGTTATGGGGAAAATCTATAACACACACACACACACACACACACACACACACACAGAGAGAGAGAGAGAGAGAGAGAGAGAGAGAGAGATCTGCTCTGAGACTCTTAGAACGGTTGTTCCACTCAGAAGATTGATTCATGTGGTTAACAGGGGGTGTAATTCTCGGCGAATTTTGCACTGGTATTGTTATATTGCCTTGTTTTTTTTGCCTTTTTTTGAAATTGTTTCTTGATTTTTTTTTGTCTGATATGTATGTGCTTTTGGGTACATCCTGTATTCAGTTTTGAGTCTTTTGACATAGTTGGACCAGTAATGAAAAAGTTGGTATTTTTTTGAAATCATTGAACGCTTATTTTAGCTCGGGAAAAAACTCCAATTAGTATTTAGAAGAATGCAGTATAAGCCATCGTATTCACAGCGGATAACCCATGCTTAGACCACCAGTCTGTACAAGGCTCTTTTTTCTGACACGCTCTGCTGCCCAACCGTGAAAGACAGAGAATGCCGGCTGCAAGAAAAGGCCAGGTACTGCAAGTCTTTTCTGTCCGGCAAGCTCGACCTGCCATTTTGCTGCCGAGTTAACCGCTGCATCGGAACAGGATAGCCGGGAATCGAACTGGTGCTTCGAGGCACGGAAATGTTGTTTGTGTTGTTGTATGCTATGCCGTGTGAATGAACGAGCATGCACTGCTCTTGCTGCCTGCTAAATTGGCAGGTAATCCGCATGGTTGGAGAGAGCACAGAGGCCGTTGGCGCAGGGGTTGGGGGAAGTGGAGGAAGCACGAAGATGCCCACGCTGGAGGAATATGGCACAAATCTCACCAAGCTTGCAGAAGAGGTAGGTACTTACTACTCAGTTACATTATGGAATTCTCCTCCCAGTACTGGTATTGCTTCTGGCAGTTCCTCTTCTTGGTAGTGCAGTGAAGGACAGTTTGGTGACTCCCCGTCTTTATTCTTATGGTGTGTGTGTGTGTGTGGGGGGGGGTAGCTCAAACCTTATGGCATTCATTTGGTTCAATAAGGATTTGAACGCATGACCTGTTTAGTAAAAGTTGCAAGTGTGTACCATTCAGCCCCATGGACTAGGTAATCTGTACGGCAGGCTTGTTCTCCTAGTCTGCGACTTTTGGGGATGACCACTCCCATTCCATGTCACGATCGAGAAAAAACATGCGGTCAATGATGATCTGATTCTTGTCATGTGTGCGATCTTGTCGTCAATGATGATCTGATTCTTGTCATGTGTGCGATCTTGTTCCATGGTGAATGATTTCCATGCACCACACTCGTATTCTTGCCTTTCCTCGTGTTAATCAATGCTACAAGGTTTGTTAACGACTGTCATGAATCCCTGTTTGGGCAAACAGGGACCCAAAAAAAAGAAGACGAAACTGAAAAAAAAAATTCCCAAATGCACTCTTCAGTGCGGGGGGGGGTAACCTAGGGCTGGAAAGTGGGGGGTCCTTATTAACCACTTGTGTGCAGTAGGTGGATATCTGCTGAGATTCCCATAGCCCCATAGTTTGCCTCAGTGGACCATATGAACAGATTCTCCCTCTCTCTCTCTCTCTCTCACACACACACACTATCTGATTCGGATTGGAGCTACAGTTGCATAGCTTGTGGTGATGTTTTTTTGGGTCCTATTTTTGTTTACTAGCTAGAGTCGGTTTCATTGGCAACACAGATGGATTTGTTTCAGCGGCAAGCGCTCTGGCATGACAGATCTCCATAGTGACCTGTGTTTTGGTGTTGGTGTGTGTGTGTGTGTGTGTGTGTGTGTGTGTGTGTGTGTGTGTGTGTGTGTTTTGTTTGTTTGTTTTGTTTGTTGTCTACAGGGTAAGCTTGATCCCGTTGTTGGGAGGCAGGCACAGATCGAGCGTGTCACGCAGATTCTTGGACGAAGAACGAAGAACAACCCTTGCCTGATTGGAGAACCTGGTGTGGGAAAGACTGCCATTGCTGAGGGACTGGCTCAAAGAATTGCTACTGGCGACGTCCCGGAGACCATAGAAGGAAAGAAGGTAAGATAAGATGTTTTGGTTCGATCCTCACCACCAAAATCATGTTGTATGTTTGCTCCACATCTCTCAGAGGCTGTGCTAGTGAGCGAGTGGATGGTTGGGCACATGTGCCTTCCTCCCCTGTGAATGAACTCCATGTGTGTGTGTGTGTGTGTGAGAGAGAGAGAGAGAGAGAGAGAGAGAGAGAGAGAGAGAGAGAGAGAGAGAGAGAGATTCTCTTATTGGCTGCCTGACAACCAACATGGAGCACATCGCTGACTGTGTTGTGCTGATGTGATGCTCATTTACAATGCCAATGATAAACAACTTCAGGTGGTGACATTGGATATGGGCTTGCTGGTAGCTGGTACAAAGTACCGAGGAGAGTTCGAGGAGCGGCTGAAGAAGCTGATGGAGGAAATTAAACAGTCTGATGACATCATTCTCGTCATTGATGAAGTTCACACGTTGATCGGTGCTGGCGCTGCCGAAGGTGCAATTGATGCAGCGAATATCTTGAAGCCAGCCCTTGCAAGAGGAGAGCTTCAGGTTGGTCATATTTTTGCTGTTTTGTGAAACTGGAAGTGCTCTTCCTGGGCTTCTGGTTTTGTGGTAAAGATATTACGCCGAGCAAACAGAAGAATATCTCCAAGTTTGAACAATGAAGATAAGAGAAACATCCTTCGGGGCATCCACTAAAATTGCAATGGTATATATTGAGGAGTGGTCCACAATTCTCCAAATCGAAAGAAAATAAATAAAAAATCAACATAAAAAAGCAGGTTGAGTCCTTGTGCAAGTTGTGGCTCTTTGGTTGGAGTTTGATATGCTCTGACAAGAGAGCCAGTAGTTGAATTGGCAAGCTCAAGCAACTATTCGCTTTGTGGACTGCGAACAGTAGGGAAGCGATGGCATGTTGTGGAGGAAGGGGAATTGGGGTCTTATCCAACTGGGTAGGCCTGGCCAGCAGCGGTCCAGAAAGGGTCCCGGGCAGTCCCATTGCAGAAAAAAAGTGAAAAAGGACATCTGGGGAAAAAGATGTTGTGCACAATTGTTATACCAACAGCGTGTGGCCATGGAATAGAAAACGAAATAGAAAACGATTTGAGATGTACTTCAGCGAAAGAGTTGTTGGTATTGCAGACTGGATTATGACTTCTCATGTCACAAGCAATCCTCGCCTGACGTGTGTGAGAACCACTGCATACATATGGATGAACGAGTGCGCTCGAATCAATTTTGTTAACGAAGAGCAGATGGGCTGGAGCAGGGTAGAATGTACAGGAACTGTCTACATGCGGTTCTGATTATAAATGGCTCTTGTTTCTGTTGACGCCTTTTGACAATTCAATTAGACTTTAGAAGCAATCCCTGCCTGGTCACCAGCATGCAAGTGTGTACATTCGGAGTGAGGGCCTTGTCACACCTGAAACGGTTTTCACCTTTGCAGAGGCAGATGCAGATCCCAGGGCTCGATTCCCAGACCTTGTACAGTATCAAGTCGACCGTTGAGTGTTTGAACCCGTGACCTGTGTTGTGGTAGTTGTTTGTTGTCTGTCGTAGATTTGTATAGTGGTAGGGGTTCGATCTGTAGGTCTGTCAAGTAGGAGTCACAGCTTGTAGAGGTCGTAGCTGTAGGTGTTCTGAAAGGTCAAGGTCATAGCTGCTACAGTCCTGAAAGGTCAAGGTCGTAGCTGCTACCGTATTCGAGAGGCCAAGTCCACAGACTTCCGGAAGGTCCGGAAGTGACCTTTCGGAGTTGCCTCACATTTAGCCAGAGGCAAGTGGGCAAGTGGTGAACCCAACTGCATTACGTCGGCAGTGCGACTGCATTGAGTTGGCAGTGCAAACCCATGCAGTCAGCAGTATCGGTCCCAGTCAGTCAGAGTCCAGTCAAGCAAGTACCGTATGGGACTGTGTGCACCAAGGGCCTGGGAAAGGGGCAGTCCAACGAGTTACAGAAGTATAAATCAAGAGGCAGCGCCCAGCCATTCATTCATTCGCTGCATAAGCCATGCGGAAGTGCTGCTACAGCGTCTTGTGCGAAGGTGGTCTGCGGAAGTGGGCTGATGGGAGAGAGCATAGACATAGCCATTAGAGGTAGAGCGGCCATAGCCGCTGTAGGAGGAAGATAGGCTGAGTATGTGTGTGCGTGGTGGTATTCAGGGTGATCCAGGGTTGAGGAGAGTTGAGTGCGTGTGAACAGTGGTGTTGGACCAGGTGATGAGAGTTGGGAAGTGCAGGTGCTGTTGCGCCACAGCCTGTTGAAATGAACTTGCATCTGAACTGCGTTCTCGTTGTCCATATCTCTGAGCTTTGAGTGGGAGCACTGCGCCAGTGTGAATCGCCACCTGTTCGCATGTACGTGAAGTGGAAGTAAAAGTGAGTCTGATTGCACACCACTGGATGAAACGAGAAAAATGTGAGTGCATCATGAGTCTGATTGCACACCACTGGATGAAACGAGAACAATGTGAGTGCATCTTCTGAAAAAGGCGGAAAGATCCATCCGTTACTATTCATAGTAATGGACGCTTCTGGTCATCTGGTCATGATGTGCAGGAACATGCGCTTGCATATTTTTCCGTTTCATGAGCGGTGTGGCGAGGCCCTGAATCAATAGACATAGGAGAGGTGGTGTGCAGGGTGGTTGTCTTGAGATTCACATTGAAAAGATTGCTTCTCCGTTTTGTCTGCCGTTTTTGAAAGCCGCGGCTGAAGGAGGCAAGTAGCGTGCATGTTATCTCCATGGGGCTGTGTATATGAATGTGTTCTTTGCTCTGGTACTCTCTGTTGTTCTGTTTGCAGTGCATTGGTGCGACCACCATTGACGAATATCGCAAGCACATTGAGAAGGATCCGGCTCTGGAGCGCCGTTTCCAGCCAGTTCAGGTTCCTGAGCCAACAGTGGAGGAGACAATTCAGATCTTGCATGGCCTCCGCGAGCGGTATGAGATTCACCACAAACTTCGTTACACCGATGAGGCGTTGGTTGCCGCTGCCCAGCTCTCTTATCAGTATATCAGGTGTGTACTTCAGAGCTGCCATATCCTTTGTTTTTTGTTTTTTTTTGAAAGGGCGACAGCCTTGAGATATCATCATCGAACTTACTGACCCCAGGTAATCCAGAACTATTGTATGTCACTCATCTGGATTTGAGCTTGGGTCTGTATTTCAAAGTTTCGACAGTTCATGGGTGTACCAACTGAGCTAGGCCCATCGGTCAGAGCTGCGATATCCATTTTGAGGGCATACTCAGTCAAAATGGCAAACTGAGGGCATACTCACACCAGGACTGTTCTGGATGTATCTGTCGGCAATTACGGCCAGCCCTGGTTGTAACTTACCACGATTACGTCCAGATCTGAGTCGAAAAGTCGCAGTCTGAGTATGCCCCGAGCACTGTGAACTGAGTGGGAGAACTGCTTTGTTTTCTTTGAGGTATCGCTTTTGGTAGGTCTTGACAAGTGGTGTAAGAGCTAAGAAGTAGTCTGAGGTTGGTTCTTCCAATTGGAGTTACAGTGATTAATAATCACCTTCAAGAAGTTTGCTTAGACTTTTCTGATCTTGTTGGGAGAAGCCCATGCTGGGCCACAATTTCATTTGTGTTCGAGTTGTTTTTCCCGAAATGCTGGCGCTCGGGTTTGATCTCAGGCCACTGTAGGGGTAGAGATTCAGTGTTCTCAGTCGTTGACAGTGGTGTTGACAGTGGTGGGATTTGAACCTGAGCCTGAGTTTTAGTAGATAAGTATATGCTTCAGCAGTGGCTCAGGCCACTCCGGTAGCTGCTTTTAGTTCAGCTAGGGCATTTCACACTGGCAGACCCTTGCTCCTGTGTAGGGCAATGCAACGTGACGAAAGTAAAAGCGAGTAGCAGATTTTCGTCTTTCTGGGACTTGTCGTTGTCACAAATGGGAACATGTTGTTCACACTCTGTCATTCAAGGCTAGAAGTAGGCCCAGCCATCGTAGCTGAGATCTCTGAGACTTTCAACTGAATTGTAGTTCTCTGAGACTAAAAACTCAGTTGCAGTTCTGTTGAAGAGGTGGCTGGGCAGTGGGCACCCTGCTGGGCAGGTTGTTGGCGAAGTTTCCACTTGTGTTTGCTGTGGAAGCAGCTAATGGTTAGATGAGCACTCAATATAGTGTGATGAAGAAGCAATTATTGGTTGAACGAGTTTACTAATGTGATGAAGAACCGAGGATTGACTGGCTGGTCGCTCAATGAAGTGTAATGATGAGCGTTTGTAGCTGATTGCAAGTTCAATAAAGATTGATTTGCTTGATTATGCTAAGTCTGTAGGCGCAGCAGGGACTGCTATATGCTCTTGTTATTGACCTCCATTTGGCTGTGGCGAATGTCTTCTAGAATCTCAGTTCTCAGTTGCGATGAATGCCTTCTAGAAGCGAAGTTGTGATGAATGGCTTCCAGTGCATCATGGATGGGAATTTAATCCACCAGTACATGGCCCTAGCCTTGCAGAAATTTGTTTGTCGCCTACTCCAAAAATTTTGCGGCTTGGGCCTACCCGATCACAATGGCTGGCGCCGCCAGCCAAAAAAGAAAAAGAGTGCACCGCTGGCGGTTCGGGAAAGCTTGGTGCACAGTGCATTTAAGGGGGAAGAAAGCATGGATGGGGGTCAAAAACAAAAGGAGGCCATGGATGAGGATCCAGATTAGCACTGGAAAGCACCCTCGCATATTGTAAGATTTCTTGCATCCACCTTTTCTCGTCTCTCCTCTTTTTTTTTTGTTGGTGTGGGGGGGGGCAGGGGCAAAGTCTTTATCGTCTGCTCAATGGTTTTTCAGTTTGTCTCTGTGGTGCTCGCTTTTCTTTTCAAGAGCTAAAACATACAATGCATAAATGGTTTGTGCGTCTGCTGTTTCCAGTGATCGTTTCTTGCCTGACAAGGCAATCGACTTGATTGATGAGGCTGGCTCAAGGGTTCGCCTCCAGCATGCTCAGGTAAATGAATGTGTGCTGGCATGTAATCCCTAGAATTCTAGTGCATGCATATTGGTGCCTTGTACTTTGCGGGACAGGACCATGCAGAGTCTTGTATTTGTAGCACGTCAGCAGCCATTGCATCCTGTCTGCTTCTTTTTTTCTTGTGTTTTTGTTTTTTTTTGTTTTTTTTTTTGTTTTTGAAAAAACAGAACCTTAAGGCTCTGGCTCCTTTTCCATTCTGGGGACCATCAGTCCGATTCCTATTCCACCGGCAAGTCAAAGGAATTACATATAGGACTCGCACACGCTCTTCCCGTTTATGGTAGGCAAGCCCGAGGGCACCCCTCACCCCTGCCTAAGTCAGCCTGCACTCCGTATGTGCCCATAAGCTGGTCATCGTTAATCACAGTCCTTGCCATCTTGGTCTGTCCACCTCTCTACCCCTTGTGGTTTTGACCCCACCATGAAGGGTGCCACACCTGTCCCATGAATCCTGACATTGCTCTTGAGTATGCCATTCGCATCTGCTGTCACGGCCACCTTGCAGTCTTGATGCTTGGAGCACCCTCCTTTTTTCTTCTTTCTTCGCGTCCAGCAACGCTCCTGCATCTATATCCTTGCAAGGCTCTTCTGCTAATTTGGCTATGGAAACATGCTTGCCAGCCAGCTCTTCATTCTTTCCTTTCAGGCCCACGATTTGTGGCTCCAGGACTCTTGTTCTGCTTAGCCGGGGATAGGCCCGCCTCCTCCTGTTTCCTCCCTGCATCCACTTCTGCTCCTTCCTGCCTAGCCGCACGTCGCTTGTGTCTGTAGGTTCTAATAGCCATTTTGTCGCTCCCATCATATTTGACTGGCCACTCAAAGAGTTTGTCGCACTTGCTCTGGTCGACATCGATGTCGTCGCCTTTCGCACTGGTTTTCAGACCGTACCGCTGGGTGTAGAAATGGGAGAGCTCCTGCTCCCTTCTGAGGATGTCAAACCGACGATTGTCCGTGTCCACACCCTCCCCTGTTCTAGCGCTGCCCAGTTTGTGGTGATGCCTATGAAAGGCCATATTCAGCTCAAACTCCACCCTACGGACACGCTCCAACCCAGCTACAGCCTTCTCCAAACCAGTCTAGCAATTCCTCATCCCGCTGTTCGCTGGGGGCTCTGTGCCCTGGTGCACCCCGGTCTCCTTAACTTGTTCGTACAACCTGCGTTTTTGTGCGCCACCAGCTGTGCTGGCCTGTTTGTCCACTTCCCTACCCTGTCCCTCCTGCTCCACTCCATTGCTAACCAATCCGGCCGCGTTCGTCTGCTGTCCCAGATCCCTACCGTACTGCTGGTTGTTCTTTCCACCTCTGCACCCAGCTGCAGCAGCTCCTTCAAGGATTCGAGCCTCTGTTTGTCCTCCTCCACCAATTGCTTGTTAACGACCTGCTTTCTCGCAAAACCTACGCCCCTTTCCTCCATTCGACGCACTTCAACCCCTCCTGCTACACTCATTGCTAACCAATCCGGCCGCGTTCGTCTGCTGTCCCAGATCCCTACCGTACTGCTGGTTGTTCTTTCCACCTCTGCACCCAGCTGCAGCAGCTCCTTCAAGGATTTGAGCCGCTGTTTGTCCTCCTCCACCAATTGCTCGTTAACGACCTGCTTTCTCGCAAAACCTACGCCCCTTTCCTCCATTCGACGCGCTCCAACCTCCCTCCATCTACTATCATATGGCAGGCAGATCTTCGGTTTCACCAACGGGTCTCCCTTGAGTGTCCAGACCCATCGCGGCATCTGCAGATTGTCGTCGAAGACCCAGGCTGTGTACTCCGGTCTGTTGATGAACCAGACATCCGGCTTGCCTTCACATTCCACCAGTTGGTCCTGATTTGCCACCTGCCTGCTGGTTCTAGACTTGTTTGCAGGGCAGTTGGGATCATTCCCAAGTGCCCCTTCTTGCATCGGAAACATGTCAGGTTCGCTTTGGTAGAGACGTGTAGCGTGGCCTTCTGGCCAATCTTCCCGAACATCCAGCAGTCCGGGGATGCCGGAGGGGTGCCTGTAGGCATGCTCAGGCATGCCGCTCTCGCATCATGGTTCGGGGCGAAAAAGTCTGGGCCAGCCGGGAGCCATTCAATAACCGGGCAGTTCAGATATTCCACCTCCAGTCGCCTTTGAACCGAATGCTGTGAAGTCCCTCTGAGAGGTTGTCAAACTGCACCCAGAACTGATTGTGAAGCATGGCTTGTCTATGACGTGACGCCTCTGGTTGCGGTGCCTTGAAAGGTTTCCATGGGCGAATGGAGACCATCAAACCTTTTCAATTAAGCGATCCAATGGAGAGCAGGTGGCGTGTAGTCCTCAACACATAGCACCATGACCACGTTTCTCCCCGGCCTATGCAGAGATATGTCTGGCTCCGTGCCCAGGAGGGGTTGCAGTGCTCTCAATCTCTCCAGCACCCACTTTCTTTTATCATTCATTGAGAGTTCGTTCCCCCTCTGTGAGAAAATGAACAGCACTGTATGCTTGAGGTAGAGCTCATTCAACGTATCCAATTCCTCTTCCGGGTATTCCCAAATATCCACCTCCTTCTCCTGACCATCTTCCGCCTTGGATATCTCTTTCGTCCCCTTTATCTCAGACCGAATTCTCATCCTCTCTAACAGAAACTCCATCGCCCTCTGCCCCAATGCGTTCTGCGCTGGGGGTGGCTGGCCCCCCTGACGCGGTCATGTTGCCCTCTGGAGGTGCCAGGCTGTGTGCCGGCGTGAGGACTTGGGCGTATGTGGTCGCCATGCCGGGACTTTTACACTGCCCTCCGAACCCTCCTTCCCTCGTTAGCTTCGCCTCTATTATGAGTGTCTCCGTTACCTGCCTTACCAGACCTCTGTACTACTACCGTCGGATACCTTGCTTTCCTTATCACTTCTCCCCCGTCCAGCTCCCTCAATTCCTTACTTGCTGTCTCAGTCCAGCCTCTCTCCTCCCGTTGTTGCCTCCCTTCTTTCTGCCGTCTGCCGTTGACTCTCCTGTCGAGGCTTAGTGTTGCCCACTTCAGCCTTACTCTCCGCTCGTCACGTCCCCCCTCGTGCCTTCCCTCTCGTTGTCTCCCCTCTTACCTACATCCCACCTCTCACTACTCTCTCCTACCTCCCCCCAGTTGTTATCTGCACTCCCCCTGCATGCCCCTGTTCGCTCATCCCAGTCGCTTCTATGCGCCACCCCCCAATCCCTCACTCTCCCCGCTCACGCCTCGATACTATTCAAACTCCTCCTTCCTCTGCCCCATTTGCCCCCATTATCTCCTTTCCTGCGATGATGGAATTCCTCCTCAACTCCTCCTTCCTCCTTCCTCCTCTGCCCCATTTGCCCCCATTATCTCCTTTCCTGCGATGATGGAATTCCTACTCATCCACTCTACTCCCCTTTTTTTTGTTTTTTTTTTTCCGACCCCCTCTCCCGTTCGACCCTCACTCGGCGCTTTGCCGCTTGCTATCCCCCATGTCTGCGCCAATCACTTTGTGCCGCCCTCGGCGGTCCACGCCCTGTGTCCTGTTTTCCCCCCTCGTCATCTTTGCTAGTTGTTGAGAACGCACCACTGTTAGCTTCTGGTCTTGCGTTCACCCTGCTGAGACAACCTCGCTGTTTGTCGCAACGCCTCCAGTCTACCCCATCCCCTTACCTTGTGTAATCTCGTGTACTCCCGTCTTTGCTGATGTCTTTTGCGTCAGTCACTGCTGTTCGCCCGAATATTCTCGCTCATGATAAGGTGAACGTTACCCGGCGCAATGGTGGCCACTTCTGCGTTTCCCTTGTGTGGCCAAGAATGCTTGTACTCACCGCTATGGCTTGGGTCGTCGGATCCGTAGAGACCAGTGGACGCCCCGATGGTTGAAGCCTGGCGTGAGGCCTGCGCCGATGTGAAAGGACGAGGCCGGCCACGCGATGGCGGCGTGGTCAACCCGTGCTGCGATGGTGGTGCGGTCAGCTCACGGCAACGATGTTGCGGTCAGCTCGTGACAACGATGGTGCGGTCAACTCGCTATGGCGGCGCTGCTAGGTAGTGCTAACCGGACTGGCGAGTGCACACTCGATGGATCCGCCTGTGTGCTTCTCTTGCCTTTACTCCCATGACGATTTGATGATGATGATGACGAGGAGGAGGAGGAGGAGGAGGATGCTTTTTCCTCCTTTCCCTTGCTGTAATTATTTCCGCTGTCCACAAATTTTCCTCAGGCAGTGCTGCTGTGCAACCTCTGGCAATCTGAGCAAGAGAAAAGAGCTATGGCATGCACTGTCCCTGGCAGGCTTGTTAGGCCCACTTCCCCCTTTTGTACCCTGCAGCAGTCCCTTTGTGGGCTTTATACACTTGAAACAAAAGCAAAAAATTATGTGTATAAAGCCCCAAAAGCGAATTCCCACCTTTCGTTCTTGAGAATTAGACTGCCAGACTGTGTCTGCATTCTCAGGGGCTGACCTTGTTTTTCTCAAACAACAATCGGTTATCTGAACTTATCTCTTGAATTTGCAGCTATCTCTTGAATTTGCAGCTAGGGACGGTTTTCAGCATGCACCAGGGGTCACGGACAATCATTGATTTTGTGTTGAACTTTCAGCTGGGTTTGGTTCTGGGATGCTACAGACACTGGTATTGTAACGTCTGATCATGTTTTTTCTCTGACTGGATATGCTGGTGTGGATGTTTGGGCCATGTCGATCGGACATCATTATTTATGTCATTACATTATGCATCTCTGCTAGCTTCCGGAGGAGGCTCGGGAACTTGACAAGGAGTTGAGAGGAGTGACGAAGGAGAAGAACGAGGCAGTGCGAGGCCAAGATTTTGAGAAGGTGAGTGCAAGCTGTGACACAGGTTTCTGAAAAGTGGATCTCCTAGTGAATGGGCGGCCACGTCTTTACTCTATCCAGTGTTCTGGAAGATGATTCAGTTTGTCTCAACAGCTGCTCGGAAGAGCTTGTTTTTTTTTTTCTTTTTTAAGTTTTTTTTTTTATTTATATTTAATCTTAGGACCTTATGGGCCTAGTTTCATATCCATTCTGGGAGCATCAGTATGGTTCCTTTTGCACCGGCAAGTCTCCATAAGTGAATATAACATCAAACCACCGCTTCCTCTCCCAGGCAACCTTCTGCGACGAATTAGTTTACATCCCCATTCTTCGTGGGCTCGTCCCCTGCGGGCCTCCCAGACCACCCAGAAAGGAATGAAAAAGAGCGCAGCGCTGGTCCATTTCGGGCTCATCGCGGAGCAGAAATCCATCATGGGAAAAGGAGGCTCAGAGGTAGCGCTTGTTTAACACTTCCTTTGTTCAAGGCCGAAGAACCCCTGTGCATTGATTGCTTCTTGGTGGGAGGATTGGCTGCCAGCTAGCCTTTTCCTTGTTAGGTTCGTCTCAGCCCCAGTATACCGGAGACTACTAGAAAGACATTACTGCTAAGAATCCCAGATGTTGATCTGCTGCATCACATTTGTAGTATCCAACATGTTCCACCTCAGGCTGTTCTCGTGTAACTTCACCCTGTGTAACAACCATCCGCTTGCAACTAATACGAAGAAATACAATATTAATAATATTTAATGAGATTAATAATAAAAAATAAATAAATATAATATTCATGAATAAATACAGAATATGAATAAACATAAAATATATCTCTATATTACTATTAAAGGAAGAAGCGGGCCCCATCAGACGCTTCCCTTGGGCCCAGGAAAAACGAGGCCCACACGTTAGTTGGATGGGACAGGCGTTGTGCCCCGTTTCGTATGTTTTTTTTTTTTTTTCAGGCGGTCGGCAGTGTTGCACACCCTGACCGCCGGCGCCCCTTGACTGGTCGGCTGGTCGGCACCTACCAGTCGGGGGTCATCAGCACCCTGCAAAAAAAAAACAAAAAAAACGAAGGTCCAGAACCTTTAATAACCCCACCAACACCCCCATACCCGCCCCAAATACCCCCATACACTCCCCCAAAACGCCCCCCAACACCCTCATACTGCCCCCTCATCCTCACCGAATGGCTGGAAAGCTGTGTATATTTCCATATTCTAGTGGAAAACTCTCTTTCTCTCTCTCTGTCACACACACACACACACACACACACGTGTAGTGTATATTTCCATGTTCTAGCGGAGGATTCATTCGATTTTGCTCATCCTATCGATGGAAGTAAAGCCGTGGGGTTGGAGACTTACCTGTTGGCCGGTGCGCTGCTCATCCTATCGATGGAAAACTCTCTCTCTCTCTCTCTCACACACACACACACACACACACACACATACACACACACACACACACACACACACACACACACACACACACACACACACACACAAACAAACAAGTGTGGGAGTGTATGTTTCCATGTTCTAGCGGTAGATTCATTCAATTTTGCTCATCCTATCGATGGAAGTAGCATGAGGCCAGCCGCGAGGTTGGAGACTTACCTGTTCTCTCTCTCTCGCACACACACACACACACACAAAAAAAAAAAAAAAAAGTGTGGCACAGTGGCAGTGTATATTTCCATGTTCTGGCTGAAGATTCATTCCGATTTTGCTCATCCGATACACACACACATACAGACCGACATTGCCATGAGCAAAATGGGATTGAATCTTTCTGTAGAACATGGAAGTATCCACTGCCACAACATGGAAATATACACTGCCAAAGACCGATAATGCGGTTCCTTGTTCTAGCAACAGATTCATTCCCATTTTGCTCATCCTATGGATGGGAAATTCTCTCTCTCTCTCTCGCGCGCGCGCGCGTGCGTGCGCACGCACAGCGCCATTTGTTCTGACAGCTCCTTAGTCCATACGCACATCGGGATTTCTTTCCAATGTATCTGTCAGCAGTTACAGGCGTACTGACTTCTGGGACCTTTTGGGACATACTCACACTGCGACTTTGGGAAACTTAGGGCACACTCGCAGTCTATCCTTACGATGTACTGACACTGAGACCCTCTGGGACGTACACTGGGACTTCGGGCAGCTTAGGGCGCGCTCACACTCTCCTTTACTCTTTTTTATTGAGATCTACAGACTCTTGAAAAACTAGTTTCTTCTTTTTTACCACATTGCCTACTTTATTACCTCGAATACCTTTTTTGTACTTCGTATCAAACTGAGGACGAAGGTATGACTTTGTTCATGGGATATCTACTCAGCATACTGACACTGTCACCTTTTGGGACAAACATTGGGACTTGGGGGACCTTGGGACACAATCGACTCTTTTTTGGAATGCAGTTGACTAAAATTCTCTCTCTCTCTCTCTCACCCCGTAGTTGGTGCCGCAGGGTCACATGCCAGCGCTCCGCCTGCCGCGGCATGGCCGCAGCGCGCCTCTGACTTGTTTATGTAATTGTAGATTGGCAAAGTGTGAAGCGTGAACCGGGCGCGAGGGAGGGTCATGCCTGGTGCCAGACAGAGGAGGGTCTGTCTTTAAGATTGATAAAAAGAAGGGTTGGGCGGAAGGTGGCAGGAAGGTGGAGCAAGCTTACTCGTTGGCAGGCGGCCATGGCTACCTGAGGATGAAGACTCCAAAAGAATGAGAGAGACCCACATTCATTTTTGGACACTGCTTTCTACTGGCACTTGCACTATAGAGAGAGGGTGTGGCACTGTTGTTGGTAAAGTCAAGGGATGAGAGGGAAGGTCGCCATAGCTTCAGGTGGCAAGGTGGTGTGTTTGAAAAAAGGAGAAGTTGAGGGATGAGACGAAAGGTCGGCATAGCTTCAGGTGGCAAGGTGGTCATGCGTGAAGAAGGAGACCCCACATTTCTTCAGAAGATGGCCATTGTTGTTCCAAGTTCCATGATTATGGAGCTAGCGTGGGATACGCCGGGCAGTAGAGATATTGACTCGGCTGACATTGTACCTATGGTAATCTTGAACTCGGGGGAGGATTGTGAATAGGGAAAACCATATGTCCCAAGTTTTTGGTGTAAGGTGCAAACATTCTGGCTTATGTTACTCTTGAACTCGGTGTGTTGCAGAGGCAGGTGTACATTGTTGTGTCCAAATATCGCATTCAGAGGTACTTGTCCTTTTGCCTCGCTCCTCCAAGGCAAGGACTCCCTCAAGCTTCTGTCAGGGGGGGGCATGGAAAAGCCAAAGACGACATCGGTTCTACAGATGTCAACACCGCGTAACACTGTCAGTGTTTGTCATTGGCTACTCAATAGATCCTGTTTGTTTGTTAAACAGGTGCAGCCACAAGAGGACACCGGTATCTTAAACCACCACTACCTCCGAGCCTCTTCTTGCCAAGGCCGCTTCCCCCTGGTGCCAAGCTTTGCCGAAATGTCATGGCGGTGTTTTTGTTTTGTTTTGTTTTGTTTTTTTTGGCGATGGTCCGGTAGCATTGTTCATCTGAAGTCTTTGGAATGTTTTATTTCTGTTCTTGACGTTGCCTGGCAAAGGTAGTGGTGTTTTAAACCAGAAGCAGTACCCAATGCAGCTGTTTCTTTCCAACCTCCAGCATCCACAGACGTGGAGTCGGGCTGGTTGTATGTTTGGTATGTGTGAACTGTAGAAGGGTGGGGCGGAGAGCAATGGGTTGGCGGGGTTGTTTGGATACGATGGTCATGGAAGAAAACAGAAAAGACACAGAAAACATAACAAAACAAAGCAAAAACAGAAGGAAATGAAAAAAAGGACGTGCCCACTACATTCTTTGAAGCCATAGCAAATCATGTAAAACACAACACGACTCTCAGTGAAGACACTGCATCAGTAGCGAGGATCTGACACGCTCACAAAAAAACGAAAATGAACCGAAACCAAGCATTCTCATCGAAGACACTGTTGTCCCGATTTGGACAACCTGACACAGAAAAACAGAAGACACCCAAGCGTCGTCGGCCTTTCGCCTTTGAAGCATGACACGAAAGAACAATCAACCATTAGAAGGACGAGTTGATCATCTCACCAGATAACATATTTCGGTACCCGCTTTTCCTTTTTTTTTTGTGGTTTTTCGCAAGTGCGGCTTTTCCGAAACGACACCTTCTGTTGAAATAGAAAGCAAAAGACTCTACACCCCCTCTGCCGTAATTGCTTTGAATAGTGAGGGTACGTCGCTTACCTACAGGAGTCTTATTTCCAGGTCTGGTTGCCAGCTTGGATAGGTTCAGCAAGCATCCCCCAAGGTAGTGGTGGTTTAAAGCGGCATTGCTTTTCGTTTTTTTCCTTAGGTCCGATAGGGCAGTCAGTATGATTGATGTGGAAGTCTCGAGTCAGATGCTAAGCTGTTATCATTATGTTTTTACAGGCTGGGGAGTTGAGAGATAAAGAGATGGAATTGAAGGCTCAGATTACTAGCATCCTGGAGAAAGGGAAAGAGAAGAGCAGTGCAGAGTCAGAGGCTGGAGATACTGGCCCCTTGGTCACTGAGGCTGATATTCAGAAGATTGTCTCTGCATGGACTGGAATTCCTGTTGAAAAGGTAATTTGCTTCTCTTCGGATTGTGAACTGCAATCTTACATTCCCTGTAGGTTTAGTTTGTGTGTGTGTGTCTGTGTGTCTGTGTGTGTGTGTGAGTGTGTGTGTGTGTGTGTGTGTGAGAGAGAGAGAGAGAGAGAGAGAGGAACAACATAAGTGAAGAAAGTGGATCAATAAAAAAGCCGAGAGAGAGAGAGAGAGANGTCTAGTAAACCAAAAACCTATTAATAAATAAGAACACATACCTACTAGTTCCCAAAAGATATATATTTGAAATAAATTAGGACTTAGAACAAGTCCTAACATAGAAGCTGTAAATAGACTCAAATAAGCAAAAAATCTTACATAACTCTGATCATGCGACATATAACCATGGCTATAGGACATAACTAATACTGCTACACTTGTAACCAGAAACAACATAAGTGAAGAAAGTGGATCAATAAAAAAGCCGAGAGAGAGAGAGAGAGAGAGAGAGAGAGAGAGAGAGAGAGAGAGAGAGAGAGAGAGAGAGAGAGAGAGAGAGAGAGAGAGAAGTGGTGAGGTGGATGGATGGCCGTGAATGTGGTTGGATAAAGATTTGACAGGCAGAGAAGTAACAGAGCAGAGAAAGATGTAGAGGATGTGAAATGGGCTTGGTTCTGCTAGCTCATGTGGTGATTGCTAGTGGGACAGAGGCAGTGCTCACAGGCATACCATCTGTAAGGGAAGCCATGGCCATAACATGTCACAATCTAGCGTCACTGTTTTCCGTGGGCATGTGTGCGTGATTGAGGGAGAGGATGGATGGTGAAGAGGGTACACTCTAAGGCAGAGGAAGTAGGTGGTTTAGGAGGATGACAGGATGTGGAGTAGGGTGGAGAGGGGAGAGCAATCGTGTCTCACATAGTGAAAAGTGAATAAATGCCGTGTCTACAAAAGCATGCCCTGGCACGTTCATGTGTTTTTCGATGGGTGTGTTTGTACATGCATCAACAAAGAGAGAGGTAGAGAAGTGGGGGTAAAACCCAGAGAAGAAGAGGAGATTTGTGCAATGAGAGGCACTTCTGAGCATGGAGAAAGAAAGGGGAGGTGAGGTCCGCAGGTCCTGGTGGGACAAAGTTCAGTTGGGTTGCATGTATTATGTGCGAAATGCTGTGTTTCGTCACCCCTCACGTTCTTATTTCTCATCTTTTATGTTTGGTGTGGGGAAAACGGAGGGTGGGTGCATCTCATGTTGCCCTACTGTGGTGCGGCAAGAAAGTGCCAGAAGAAAACATAAAGCAGAAAGGAAAAACATAAACTGTGCTTCCGTGTGGACGAAGCGCAGCATAGTTTGTGCGTTTTACGCTACGTCTCATTTGCAAAGCAGTATGCTTTCTTTTGGCAAAGTTTTGTTGAGAGACCAATCGTTTGAAAAAGGGGCCATCACGAATGCCAACGACTTTCGTCGTTGAGCCCGGGCATGGATGTGGCTGACTTCTTTGATGCCCATCTGTATCCGTACGGGGAACTTTGTTGTGTCTGAACTGTCAAGTAGTATCAACTGTGAAATATGTTGGCGTCCCCGTCATTGCATATGGAAGCGTAGGGGACAATGTTTTCACTTTTGCTTCCTGCCAGCAAGCTCTTTGTGTATTGATTGTTGCTCTTCACTGGATTGGTTCTTGACCACCCAGGTCTCCACGGATGAATCTGATCGGCTGCTCAAGATGGAGGGAACACTCCATCAACGCGTCATCGGTCAGGATGAGGCAGTGAAGGCTATTAGCAGAGCTATAAGGCGTGCAAGAGTAGGGCTGAAAAATCCTAATCGGCCTATCGCCAGTTTCATTTTCTCTGGTCCTACGGGTGTTGGTAAATCTGAGCTTGCCAAGGCACTGGCCTCTTACTACTTCGGCTCTGAGGAGGTAGGCATGGTTCAAGAGATCAGATTCCCCATCAAGAGGGGACGGACTGATATCCATCTGCATATCTCATCCCTTGTCCCAGCGTCACAGTTCGTTTACATATGCAAAGTCGCTAATGCCTGGTAATTGCGAACAAGATCTGATGTCTGTTTATCAAGAGGATGGGACAAATAGACATGGGAACATGAAGTTGCATGTCAACGAGTGGCCCGGTAATTGTTTGCAGAATCTGGGATTCGTGTATGTGAGATTGACCAACAGGCCTAGCTCGTATCCAAGTTTGAATCCAGATGCAATCAGGTGAACGAGAAATTATAATTGTGAATTACCTGGGGCTGGTCAGTTTCTCTGAAAAAAGAGAAAGAAGACGAAGAAGACGAAGAAGAAGAAGAACATTGTACTGCAAAACGAGTTTGTGAACGAATTGTTCTTCTGATTGGTTGGGCGGAGTAACTCTGCTGACGAGCTTGTGGGAGGCATTGCCAAGGTGGAGAACGTCATGTGGTAAGAAATGGAGACGCTGTAGGATAGCGATTCAAATTGCTGGAGTAGAAAACTTGGGAAATCATCGTGCCATAGTGAGGGATATTTTAAAAGGGGGGTGGGGGGTGGGGGGTGAGGGGCCTAGGTTAGGATCGTAGTGCGGCTCCCTCACCCGGGTCCCAGGGTATGTGACTGGGTGCGATGTGGTCGAACCCCCCCGCCCCCGGCCGGGGTGATGGAGATAGGAGTTTGACCTTGACCCTGACATGTGGGCCCGGCTTTGGTTGGACCCGATACCCCCTGTTTACGTCTTCTGCCCCTTCTATCTTTCCTTTCCTCGTCTTTGCTTGCCGGTGAGCCCCGCAGAATAGAAGAGGCCCGTGTGTGTTTAAAAAAAGAAAAGAAAAGAAAAGAAAAGAAATGGAATCCTTCTCCCGTAGTGGTGATGTATAACATAGCTAGCTAGCTTCATACCAGTATGGGCAAGAGTTGAGTAGTTCATCATAGGATGCTTGTTGAGCTCGTGCGATTGAGTTGACTAAGGGGAGCATTGCATGTGATCCGGCAAGAAGAAATGTTGAGGACAATGTAACAAACATGGGCCTTGTGGACTCGTTTAGGCATGACATATTCTTGTGGCCACTATCAATCATATGCCACTTACTGACCTGTTCAGGGCCTTTAGGCATGATATATCTTTGTCGCTGCTATCGATCGAATTGTGTACAAATGTAAACCAAGTGCTTGTAGCTGAGACAAGGGGTATAAATTGCCACTTATTGAAAAGGTTTGTCAGGGTTTCCTACACCTGCTAAGTGCATGGATTCTCTTTTCAAGGGGTCTAAATTGGAAAGTACGTAGTTGCGCTGTTAATGACATTTTGGTTGGTGGTGTGATCGTTGTTATGACGACGATGAATTCTTGCAGGCAATGGTCCGACTTGATATGAGTGAGTTTATGGAAAGGCATACAGTCTCAAAGCTTATTGGGTCACCTCCTGGATATGTTGGCTATAGCGAGGGTGGGCAATTGACGGAAGCAGTTCGGCGAAGACCATATACGGTGGTCCTCTTCGACGAGATTGAAAAGGCTCACCCAGATGTGTTCAACATGATGCTTCAGGTCTGCATCACAGTTTCATCCACCCTCACTCAGTGTGATGTCTTTCAAAGCAAAGCAGTCGAGAGCACTGATTATGGTACCAAACAGCATCACCTGTTTCTTGATTGAATCTGCTCAAATGACTTTTGGGTTGTCTTACCTGAAGGCTTTTCTTTTTTTATAAAGATACTACGATAGTGAAATACAAGCTATATTTCTGGATTGAAACTGCACACCCTACGAATGACTTTTGGGCTGTCCTACCTGAAGGCTTAATTTTTTTAAAGGCTATATTCTTTGCCGAAAGCTGGGTCCAGAGTCCCTTACATAAGCTGAAAGGCATTTGGAATTTTGTGCTTTTCTGAATGAATTTCCAGGCTACAAACACGCCAATGATCTAATCCGGTGATTACGCAAGCCCAGTCTCTCCACCTCTGAAAATAAAAAAAGTTGGAGATCTCTCTTGCTCTTATGATAGTTTAGACATTGCCATTGTACATGTGTGGTGCGATAGAATCCAAGCATTGCGTCAGTGGCTTTGATTGCTTGTCTTACATGGGCAGCTACAACATAGGAGACTCTAGGATACTCTCCCAGCAGCAAACATTCCAGATCATCCCCACAGTAGCCAAAAAAACGTAATTAACTTAATGCTGAAGCTGGGGAAGATGAGAGTGTCATGATCTGGTTGTGTGGTGTTGATCTGACTTTGCCGCAGTCATTTCGCAGTACTTTGTTGTGACACAGACTCTTGGTGATTTGTAGCTTGTATGACTGGACATCTGTGAGCATGGGGTACTGCAATGTTCCGAGGTCTTCTAGGTCTGCCTTTCTCACTGGTTCACATATGTTGGAGTATCTCTGGTTGTGCATCCTGGGGAAAGAGTTCCTGTGTGCTATTTAGCATGCCATGGAATGTAATATGCGAAGTATTCGGGGTTAGCTCTATGTGGTTCTCTCTCTCTCTCTCTCTCTCTCTCTCTCTCTCTCTCTCTCTCTCTCTCTCTCTC